AATTACTTTTGCGAATAATTTTGTAAGTAAATAAATATTAAGAGAATTTTCATTTTTAAAATTCTATATTTCCTAAAATTTTAATATTTGAATAATAATATAAATTTAAAATAATAATATGAATTTCATAAATATATTTTAATTATATAAATATAATTAATATATGTCATTCTATAATCAACTTAAACAAACAAACCAGACATGTCTGAAAAAATAAACATAAACTTTTAATTATGAAGCATGGGAAAATCCATTCACCCTGAGGCTAAAAAACATAAACAATACGAAACACCTGAAATGCATGAATAAATGATTTTTGAAATAATAAAATTATGTTAAAAATTTAATTTTTAATAATAAATCAAGCAATTACAGCATAAAATTGACGTCAAAGTCTCCTCGGCGAGAGACAGAAACTAAAAAGCTTAAGTGCCATCTCCGCTGTAATAGAAAAAGTAAAGCATATGACAACGATTCGTTGTCTCTAAAAGTAGCGAGGTGACTCACTCGCTGAACTCGGAAAGCAAACAAGCAGACAGACAGCGTACGCTGGTGTCAAATATTAAACACACTCAAAATTATAATTTATTTATTTTATTATTTTTTTTTTATAGAACCGGCAAAAATCATGCCGCTAAATTTGACACAAATACAAAAAATAAAATAACGATGACGTTAATTTTTATCAATAAAAAAAGCGAGTTTCGGTTTGTGCTCTAAAACGATAACATTTTTGAAAATAAACAAAAACCGCACTCGCGTGAGGGGGCGAACTTAACGATTTTATATATTTTTTTGTATTTTGAGTTTGTTTAAGACCAGATGCGGTTAGAGCAAAGCTAGTCAAAGATCACGAGCTCAACATTTTTTACTCTCTGCAGTTGAAATGATTAACTGTAAATGTCGGTTGTATTTGTGGTCGTCGGTTATATCTGCGGTCGGTTTTGTTACCTTATTTAGTAAAAATTCATTTTGGACTTTCTCACACCAGCGCTTATCATTTTTTTGTAGTTTGTTTGATTGTCAGCTTTCCCACACCCCTCGACCTCTTGTGTGATTTTCTATTCATTACGAATTTTCTTGATTCATTTTTTTTCCTGGTTGATACTTCAGTTTATGATTTCTAGGAAGTCACACTTTGTTCAGATAAATTTTTCTTTAACAATGACAGGTAATCAAAACATTCATTAAATTCACTAAAAAATTATGAACTGTTTTGTTTGCCTTGACGTCCAAGTTTTATTGGTCATTCTATTGATAATTTGAAGTAGTTCTTTTTAAAGTTTCGTGAGTGTTATTCCATTTTAATTAAATTTATTATGGCTCATTAGTATTTGTACACAGAATATATGATTCAAATGATGCTACTATGACTATTTATAACAAATAACTTCATAATTAATAACTTTGTATCTCTCATTACATTTCTTTAACAATACAGTATTTATATTTAAAAATGAATTATAATTTATTTATAATATGTTTTAAAACAGTATTTTAATTCTTCATTTTTTTAATCATATTTTATAAAAATAAATTAAAATGAAAATAAATTTAATTATCATTCATGTTTATGTAACGATTTTGCACTAAAATGTTTTGTGAAATTTGTTTTGAATAATTTATTTAAAATATGTTTTAAACAGTATTTTAATTCTTCATTTTTTTGATCATATTTTATAAAAATAAATTAAAATGGAAATAAATTTAATTATCATTTATGTTTATGCAACGATTTTGCACTAAAATGTTTTGTGAAATTTGCTTGCTTCTCGTTTAGTGCTGCAAGCTAGCACTATTTGCTTTATTTTAATTTAAATGGCTTATGATGCACACACTTTCAATTAATGAAGCATATGTGCTTATAGGTATAAGTAGATTCTTAGCGTCGCCGATATAACCTTACCTAACCTATGTAGCGCTCGTAATGCTTTTTATCTGCCCCTAATTTTTGGATTTTTGTATATTTTTTGGATTTGCCTTGTCTTTTAGTGAATACCTCCTGTAAGAAGAGTGCAGCGCTAACTGCATACTTAAGTAAAGTTTATTTTTAAATTGAGTGAATTTTGGAGTGCCTATACTTTTGTTTCGGATATTGTCAAATATCTATCATGATATCGTTAAAAGTTATGAGTTTGAGTGTTTGTACATGTTTAGGCTCATAGGTTAGACCACCGAGCTGCCGATATATTTAATTAGCGTTGAACAGATTCAGAATTTTGTCAAACAATTTTATATTTCTTAAAGCATATTTTTTACTTTTTTGATGCTATTAGTTGGCACTTTATATTCTTTTAAGTGTTAACTATGTTATTGATTAAAACATAAACTTTTATATACACGTATTTAAGCCAAGTTAAACATTGATTGGTAGTGTCAGTGAAGTTAAAGGGTTTACTTAGTAATTAATATGAACTCAGTTACTCAGATATAGTCTGATATTTCCAATATTTGGCTAAATTACTTTAGTCAATGATGTTGACGATCTTTTTGTATAGTTATAGATTTTTATATACACGTATTTAAGCCAAATTGAACATTGATTAGTAGTGTGAGTGAAGTTAAAGGGTTTACTTAATAATTAATATGAACTCAGTTACTGAGATATAGTCTGATATTTGCAATATTTGGCTAAATTGCTTTAGTCAAAGATGTTGTGGATCTTTTTTTGTAGTTGTTAGTTTCATTTGATAATTAATTAGTGTTTAATCTTGGTTAGGTGTAAACTAATTAAAGTTCTAAAGATTAAAAAGAAAATAAAAAATACATTATTATTAAATTTTTGATACTAAGACCTAATCTGTGATTTGCCTCTTGTTCTACAATCATACAATCTGCTCAAATAGCAGAGCATTGAAGTCATTCATATATTTAATAAAGGATTATGAACAAACCCACTGAGCTATAAAACAAAATATGCTATTATAAGAGTCCAAATAAAAGATTTCTATGCAAAACAACTAAGATATTAATATGAGATACTTTTAAAGAAATGCTAAAAACCCATTATTTAAATAAATTTTTAAGACTCAATTAAAAACAAAAACAAACCATCAGCAAATAAGTGCTAATTTGTATAAAGTATGCATAGAATATGCTAAATAAAAAGAATGGAAATTATATATAATTTGCATATTACTATACATATACATTAAGACCGAAAAGCTTTCGGAAATTCTCATTTAAAATTCGCGCGCTGTATATTTTCCGATATTTTAAGTTTATGTAGTTTGGCAGCACTGTCCTTAATTACTATGCCAAAAATGAGCGCGATCTGTCAGACAGTTCGTTTACGGCAGCTGTTGAAACCAGTTCACCTCAGTAGGGCGTTGCGAAAAAAACAATGGAAAAAAATATTGAACAAAGAGTTTGCATCAAATTTTGTGTTTCGAACGAAATTTCGTGTGCAGAATCGTTGCGAATGCTACAAAAGGCTTATGGGGAATCAGTTTTATCGAAAACTCAAGTTTATGAGTGGTACAAAGCCTTCCAGGACGGTCGTACGACCGTCGAAGACATTTCGCAACGCACTACTGAGGTGAACTGGTTTCAACAGCTGCCGTAAACGAACTGTCTGACAGATCGAGCTCATTTTTGGCATAGTAATTAAGGACAGTGCTGCCAAACTACATAAACTTAAAATATCGAAAAATATACAGCGCGCGAATTTTAAATGAGAATTTCCGAAAACTTTTCAGTCTTAATGTATATATATTTATGTTTATTTATATATGTGTTAAACTATGTATATGTGTTAAATAAAATAATGTAATTAACAAAATTCTAAAACAAAATGTGTGTATCAAATGCTAACAACGCTAATCACTAAAACAGATATAATTCAACGATATGTATTCCACAACTATGACGTATCGCTCAGATACAAATTAAAAGTATTCAGCTCAGCATGGGTAAAAGCAATGTTAGCATACTGAACTTATTTCTATAAAGCCACCATCACAAGCTCGCCTGTTTCATTAATGGAACCCATTTGTTTGGTTACTATTTATAATGAAAATAACTAGAAACGGAAAGAAAATTGATATATTAGCAGCGACATTCATGCTAATTTCTATCTCAGACATTAAATATTTAATATATAATAAATAATACATGAAACCAGTTACTTAATACAAAATCAGTAAACAAAACAAATTGTGTGGCTGCAAACAGAAACATGTAGCAACGTGCAAATCACAGCTTTACCCGTTTTTGCTAATTATAGATACTAGATACTAGAATAAATCTTGCACACAAATCCGGCAGATACGCGAGTACTCAATAAAAAGTATCTTTGAGATGCTTTGGCAGCTATAAAGGCATTAATTTGTAAACCAGAATTTCTACGAAAACGCTGAGCTCACTTGAGACCTGGTAGGCAGCGTAAGTGTAACGCGCAGCAAGGAGCGTGCCATGCTATCGGCGCTCAATGGGCCACAGAACAGAACGTTTGGCGAACGCTAGTCATTTCATTCGCGCGTTTAATTCTCATCGCTTTTTTGTCATAGCAAGAAAAAAGCTTTCAGAGCTGTTAAGATATTCTGTGCCGCTAGAGAATTTTATTCTAAACGAAAACGAACGAGCGTGCAAACGTTGCCGGAAGACAAACGCGCAGCGCAGCAAAAAAATTTTAAACGCAAAATTATTTTAGAAAAAAAAAAATCGACAAAAATACTTAAAAATTTTTTAAAAGCAAAAGTATTTTTTTTCGAAGTGTTTAAAAGCAGCGCGCAACGTAGATTTTTAATTATTTATTTTATATAATTTAAACGAAAAATTTCATTCTATTGGAATTATTATATTAATTTATTAAATTTTTAAACGAATTAACGAACGAACTGTAATTTTTTACTATTTAATTTCTATTTGCAAATAAAACGAAACGCAAATAAAATTCTTATTTAACAAAATACTAAGCGAAAATCTTAAAAATTCGACGAAAAAACAACGTAAAACCTTAAACGGAAAGAAGCAGTAAATTCATAAATACAAAAAAAATTAAAAATAAAAATAAAAAAAAATTAAATTAATTGTATAATAAAAAGAAGTCTTGAAACGAGACAGTAATTAAAAATTTTAGATAAATACACCGATATGATAACAGTGTACTGAGGAGATAAAAAAGACCCCAAAATATATATCAAACTGCAAAAAAATTTTCGACAATTTTACACAAAGAAAATTATTTATTTATTGTCTGAGGAATTGTTAAAAACTGCCAAATTTTGAATAGCCAAAAGTCTCATAGTGAAAAAAAGATACACGAATTTAGAGATAACAATTTGCTTAAAGTGTGCCATTGACGTTATACAGATATTGTAAAAGCGAAAGACTTGCAAGAGAATATAAAAAAGTCACACTTAAATAATTGAAAAACGTAAGATACTTGTATTTAAGTATCTATCTTTCAAAGGCGACAAAACTGTTACAATCAAAGACTACTCTAGTGCTTCACACAGAATTCAAAGTATTACAGAAAAGTTATTTTTAATGTATATATTTTTTAAAAAATTATAAATAAAATTTTCTGCGAGCACAAATACTTAGAAATACTAAGAAGAAAATTATAAACATTTTTAAAAAAAAGTCTTCATTGAACGTGATAAGCTTACGAAAGTACATATTTTGAAGTTTGTAAGCTAATTTAAATAAAAGAGAAAGAATTATAATTCCATTATATATATATACTTATTGAGTTATAGTTGTAAATAAAGAGTTAGCCGTTCTATTGGCAAAGCTGTTGAAAGGTTAGTATTGAAATTACTTCAAGTTAATAAAAACAAATATATTAAAAATGTGCACGATTTTAGTAATGTTCAAGTAATATAAGTTAACAGTTAATACAATATAAATTATAATTAAAAATTGAATTAATAAATAATAAAAAAATTATTTGTTGCAATTTTCCTACTGCTCGATAAAAACATATCTATTGAGAATAATAGTTTATCAGAAGAATTTAGTTTCTTTCAACAAAACGTACGTTAAAAAACAGTTTAAGACAATAAACTGATTTAATTACAAAGCAATTCGCTATATATACACTTTTATATATTGGTTAGGGTGCGCTGACTCTGAACTTCAAATTTGGCAGGACACGAGTTCGATTCCTGCTACTTGCAGTTTAAAAAAAATATTTCAGAATAATTAAATACAAAAATTATTTCAAAGCCCACTAATAATGGGTATTTGGCAATATTCAAAACAGCTGTAGGGTCAGCCAAAAACTCAATTAATTAAAATAATATAAAATGAATTGTTTGTTGTTGTAGTTTACTACTGTTCGAAAAAGTTCCTTATTTTATATATTATATATAGTATTATGTATGCAGTATTTTTATATTCTTTTTAACTATTCGTAAGTAATTTAAGCATTATTAAATCTAACAATAAATTTTATTACACTTTATAAAAACTTAATATTGCTGTTTATTGTTGTTATATACATTTATATGTACATATATGCAAATTAAATAATAACTATATTAATTAATTCAAAAAATTTATAAACACTAATACCATACTGCAAATTTCTCAAACACTTTAGTTTTATTAAAACACAAATAAAAATTATTATGTTGAAAGCTATAGATAATGCATAATGTTATAGATAATGCATTTAATATGCGGCATAAAAATATATAGGTATAATATATACTATTATACACTAATTGATTATGCAGATAACTGAGATATTCAAAACAGTCGTGAAAAATTGTTAAAAGAATTCATATAACAACTGGGAGTGCAAGTTTTGCCTTGCATAATAGAACTTTCTCTCACACATATCAACTGGGAGCGCAAGTTTTATCTTGTACAATAGACTTTTCTCTCACACACATCAACTGAGAGCGTAAAAAAGAAATTGATTGCCTTTTTTTCTAATTTTTACAACCAAAATCTGGACTTCAAGGAAATATATTTGAAGTGAAGAGCCATAACTACAACAGGTCGTTCTCTTTCACAAAAGCTATATAAAAACAGTTTTCAGTTGGCAGGCTAGACTTGGACAAGATTCTCTCATACTAAAACATGTAAATTCTTGTTAGCAGATAAAATTTTGAAAATAATACGTATTTGCGTCTATGTAAGCGGCTTAATCCTAAGGAATACTATCCATCTACATCTAAACTATGCGTTGACGACCAATGTTAATGTATCTTCTGATTTAAAATGTTTGAGAACATCATTGGTATGTTTTTTTGTTTGTGTATTTTCTTTAAATTATTTATCATTAGAGTAAAACAATGTATCCATGGGTGGCCTCATAAAGTCAGTCACAGACTTGCTCTTAAACCCAACCTTCAATTCAGTGACTTGAAATTTCTAGACTCTTAAATAATTTCAATTGTTTGTAGATTGAAATGAAATAATTTGTTGGAAATTTCTTCACACCAATCTTGTGAGTGATGAAATACAATCTAGTAAAGGATGCTACCGAGTTGATTCAATTTCACCAATCTCAAATACTTTGAAGTGCCCTTATTATACAAGTTTCTCTTTCTCGTGTAAATATATTAATTTTAAAATATATACGAGTATATAAACATATAGTATAACTAATGTATCTAATATATAATAATAATTTTAAAAATGCATGCAAAATGTAATTAAATTTCACCTAAAACGTATTTAAAAACTTTTTTATTCTGAATAAAGTGAATCACAACTTCTGTACCAATATGTGCATTTCAAAACTAAATACTACTAATTTTATATTTTATATATATAGTTTAAATATATTAACATGTCATAAAAATGTCAAAACTTTAATTTGTTTTTTAATTAAGAACGATTGTGCGCTCCTACACTAAATACAAAACAAAGTGCTTATTGCCTTAAAGGAAATTTATTTGTCAAGATGATAACGAATGAATCACTACACAAAAATAAATTTTAAATAACCAAAAATTTAATAGAAATTACAAAAATATATAATTTAGCTTCAAACAAATCAAATATGTACATTAGCTTTATAGTCTAAAAATAATTTATAATATATTGAAATTTTGACATAGTATATATATATTGTATATATATAAAGAAAATAGAAATTATTACGATGAAGCCTCGAATTAAATAATACATATATATATATGTGTATATATAAATATATATAATAAAAAATATTTCTTTTAATATATTTCAAAACTCAAGCTTTTATACTATTAACCTTTTGCCAAAAATAATTTACAATCTAAAGATTTCATAATAAAAATAATTATAAGCATAAATACGCAACTAAGAAGTTTTTATAATAAAAAGTAGGCCTACCTATGTTTAAAAGTCTGACTATAGTCACTTCACTTATAAACCTTAAATTGTTTGGACTTATGGAGTTACATAGAATCTTCAATTATTCATATCTCCAGCTATTAATTTAAGGTCATTCAAAGATTTGTCAACTTTAATGCCTTTTTTTTCTACACGTAAAGTGTGGATTATTTTCCGGGTCCCATTCAAAATTTGCATAGCATATACTGTGCTATAATTTACGAAGAGTATCACTTTTTAAGGCAATATTAATAGATGAAGCCTTAATTTAGTTTAGATATAAAAAGATCATGTACTAGTCAATTACTCATAGCGACAGCTAAAACTTAGGGCAATTATTTTTAGACCCTAACATAGCACAGTGCTGTTAATATTCTCTCGAATATCGGGCACCTAGTTATAAAAGCCTTGTTGTCATTTACACTAAGCAGAAGTTCAACACCATATATATGACACATGCTCTCTGATATAATATGTATGGATCGCTAAAGAAACGGTGTTCAAAGCTGTCCTTGTTTCAGATCAGAGCTGTCCCTTTATCAATATAAAATAAGTACTATCTTTTTGTCAGCGGCTAGCCAAGTATTTTTTACTGAGTGGCAACAGCAATTTAAATGGTGTCCCCAAATTTCTGAAAACACTATTAAAGAAGCACTGTTCAAAATATTTATTTTATTCTTATTACAGTAATTATTAAGCATTGAAAATGAATATGTATGTTACTTAAAACACTAGTATTACCAACTTTTTAAGAACTTTTTCTTAATATTTCTTATACTCATACTCGATATTATGATATATAAGTTGCATAAATACATCTCTCTTCCGTGAGAGAGACAAATAGTTTAGAATAAATAATTATTTAATTTGTGGTCACCTTAGAAGACAGCGGAAGCTAATTACAATATTGTATCTAAAGAACCAGAAGAGTTTTCAGCTTATCGCAATTTAATATTTTCCTATTTTCATGCATATTTTTCTTCTTCTTCTATTTTCATCCTTTTTCCCATTTTTTAGGATCTCATTTATAAATTTATAAATTTAATTATAAAACCTATACTAAATATATCATACTTAAATATTTTGTGAGAATTTTATATATATTTTAAAAATAAATTCCTCAATTACGGGATAATAATCTTGAGCTCTTCAAACGTAATTATTTATTAAGATTATTCTAAGAAATTTAGCAAAACAAAAATAAAATTTTTACTAATGGTTTCCTTGTGTAGAAGACTCATTATCACTACATTTTGTATCACCTCTCTTACACTAACCCCTTGCGTACACATAAATGACAAATTTAAGCATTCAATTTATAAAGAAAAGGCTTTGGCTTGCATATAGATATATATAAAAAAAAAGATTCAAAATATTTCTCAAGAAAATTATAAATTTCTTATAAAATAGAAAATTTTGAAATTATGCTATTTCACTATAATTTTATAAAGTAAATTTTTTTTCTTAGTTTTTCAATGTATCTAATTAATCAATTAAATATACACATTTGTTTTTGAATTTATGTATAGAATTTTAAATTGCAAAACGCAAAAATATTAAATTTGGCATTTAATTGTAAGTATATATTTATTATACATATATATGATATAGAAATATTTTTATAAATATTTATACAAAAAAAAAATGTGAAAATCACTTAAGCTCATTTTGTACCCATAAATGATTTATTTTCATGCTTTTGCATTGTAAATAAAAAATAGATCTATGAAAATACAAGAATTAAGTACGTCGTAAATAAAACAAATTATTTCAATGCTAAATTTAAGTAAAAGAACAACAAGAGCAACAGCAACAACAACAGAAATAACAATAACAATGACTATAACTATTTATAATGACATAATAACCAACCTACGGTTATATTACAAAACTTTTCATTAACTTAACATATCGTTCGATAGTTCAATTTTTTATCAATTCTTTTTTTTTTTTTTAATTAAAAAAAATTGAATAATTCATTTGTATTAAATTATTAAAATGACGTCAAATGATTTATTATTGCATTTATTTACAGTTTGTGCATGATTTTTTACTAAAAATATTAAAAAATTACTCAAACTGGAAATTTTATTTATTTTGAGTTTTTTTTTCAATACAAAATTAATAAATATTAGTAGATTAAATTTTTTTATAATTTTTAACACCTTTTTATTTTCTCAATTAACTATAGATCCTATATTCTGTAGAACAAAAATAAAGTTTGGCTTGAGAGAAAATAATATTTTATTAATATTAACTAATTCTTACTAGTTATGATAATTATTCCCAGCCCATAGTTCGAAATTTATTTTGGGGGATCGTTGTCAGATAATTTCAGTAATTTGAAAAATATAAATTTATATAAATAAATTGCTTTGATGCATTTTGGAGAGGGGTAAGGGTAGTTTTAAGGCCCTATACTCCACTAGGTGATGAGGATGACAGAAGAAGAAGAAAGACAGTATTTAAAAGCCGGTTATGTCTCTATAGTACTGATAGTTATTGGTTATGATATATATATATACATATCCATTAGCTACCATTAGCTACTGATAGCTATTGGTTATGATATATATATATAAATATATATATATATATATCCATTAGCTACCAGTACCATAGACAAAGTAAACAATAAACTTTTTCTATTCTAAAATTCATAGTAGAAATACATATAACAATTAAGGCACAACGTTAAGGAATAACTAGAATTTAAAGTAGGTACAACGTGTTAACGTGTTAGCAGATAAAAAATTCTTTTAAATTCATAAAATACATATGGTATACAGGTTTAAGTTCTTAAATATATATGTTATTTTTGCTTGACAAAACGCGAGTTAGTGTCTATAGCACTTTTACTCAGTAATGTCTGTGACCACTTGGATGCTCCACTGTAATAAGAGCACTGCTGAGTTCTAATAATACGTTATACAAATGATTTTATTGAAGTATAGTTTGAAGCCTAGCACATCTCCCTGACGGAATATATATTAGAGTGCCCCCTAATCGTTACACCCCTGGTCCTTCCATCGAAGAAGCGGACCACCTTCCGTTCTAGCCGGAACATTTTCTTCCACACAAAAGTGTAGTTGATAAAATAGTTTATCTTCCAATTTTATTATTGTTTATTTGTAATAAAAACCAAGTTAAGTAAATTGATGTAATCGAATAAAAAAAATACAAGTAGACAAGCCCTTTGTTGACATAGTTTACGATGTTATTACACCCAACTATTTATAAAATAAAATCACGTGTTTCAGAGATATACTCTTTTACTGAAGGCAGCTTTTAGAGTTGTAATAATCAAATAAGATAATCTAATTTCATCATATTAGTTAAATGCAAACTATTTTTAAGTCTATTATATTATTATTAAGACAATCATAATTTATCACAAAGGCTTTCTTATTTCAAGATTCTAAATATACAAACTTCACAAGTCTTTACATATTTACTTTCATATTCATTTGCTAAAAATATCCATAATATATATACATACATATATGTATAGTAGCAGAAATCCCCATTCGAAAGCTAAATAAACTGTCAGCGATTAAAAAGATCTAAGCTTCTTCACTTTTTCTTCGTAATTTCTTATTCACAGTTGATTGATTTTGCCAATTTGTATGAATGAAAATTTAAATATTGCGCGCGCACTTCACACTTCCTCACATTTGTTGTTATTTATGTGCTTTTCTATATATGTTCCAGTCCTGGTATTTGTGTAATTATCTGACAAATGGTAATCTTACTCTCAGATAAGTAAAATTTTTATAATTTTATAGTTTTTTATTATTATTTTTCTTTATTTGTGATAAGCAATTTATATGAACAAACCAAATTTTAGCAAAATTAAAATAATTTTAGCTTTTGTGGAAGTCAAGTCGTCAGTCCGTAGTGGAATTGTTATCTAATAATTATTTGATTTTCAAATACAATATACTTTTTCTACAGAATTTTCCATAACATTTTGTCTATTTAAAGTTTTAAAAATTAAACAAAATTTATAAATTATAATAAAGTGCATCAAAATTCATTTTAAAAATATTTAAGGTATTTTCCATTGTCGTGATAGTGAATAAATTTAATAATTATTTTTAGAAAAATTTTAAAAAAAACTTTTTTTTTTCTTTATTTACATTTGTAAATCGTCAAGATAAAAAATAACAGTGAAATATTTTTAATTTAAGTGTTTAATAAAATTTATAAAATAAACTTGACCAAAAACTGCTACAAATTCTTAACATTATTTATTTATTTATTTTATTTTTATCTTCAACAGGTAGTCAACAGCAGTAGTACAACAACACGTGTTGAAAAAAAATCACAGCGTCTACATCACATAACTTCCTCATCATCGTCCTCCACCTCTTCATCATCCACATCCTCCGAAATGAAGACGGCAGCACTGAAACGCGATCTTAACGATATTAAAAACTCCATGTCAGAAATAAGCGATTTGGCCTTAGGGCGAAATACAACGCATCAAGCCTTGAACAGCGCTGAGACTATAAATCAAATAAAACAGAAGTTAGTATAAAGCCAAAAATTAAAAATGCCAGAAAACTAAAAATATTTTTTAAATATTACAGAATTAACAGATCCCTTGAAAATATTGTGGACTGTGATGCAGAACCACTGGTAACATTACCAGAAGATGATGATCATCATCATCTTGGCAGCTGCTTGGATTTAGTTAATGTTTCAAAAAATCAGCTCAGCGCAAATGGTTTAAGTGGTTCCAATAAAACTATCGATACTGTAAAATTTGAAGAGAAACGTACAAAAACCGAATCTAAAACAAAAGTAATAACAGATGGCTTCAGTTCAGAGCAAGCGACAAGTAATATGGCGCAATCGAAACGTCTGCAGGCGGGCGATATCGATTATCAGGAAGCAAAAGCCGCTGCTGCAGTACGTAGTCGCCTAGAAGTTGATGGCGTTAAAGCTGAAGAAAATGCAGCAGTCATACAAGTAAGTTAGAACACAAATAAAATCTATAGTATTAGGATGATATGTGTTAAAATCTACAAATTGATATAGAATCTGTTCAGTCACCCTGTAGTGACTCTACAAAAGGGATTTTTTATGTTAGTCAAATATTAAGTCAGATTAAATTTATATTATATTAAAAATTTGATGGAGCACACCGTTGATAGTTTCTCTATATGCGTTCTATAAATAGCATGTTCAAGTAAATAGATACCTCATCCAAATAGACATTTTATTTATTGACTACTATTATCACTACTAATCGTATGAAAGAGAAGAAAAACTTCAATTAAACATTATCGTTGCTCTATGGACGTCAAGGACGATGATCCTCATGTAGGTCTAAGAAAGCTTGTTTTTATGGACTTGTTTTTGTAGATAGCATGCTATCTACAAAATAATGACTTGAATAGTAATTTTATTGAAAATCTTTATATATCTTAAGCTGTAAGGTAATACTTCTATAACACGTCTTATACTGTTTTTATCTTTTTATTTCATTAAATTTTATTAAAAGTTTAGCATATATAAAATGTACATATTTTAATATAGTATATACTAATTCTAATACCGACCAAATACTTAAATCAATTTCTGTCAAAATAGTCTGTTTACGGTATAAACAAAAGTATTTCAACGATAATTGATTGATTGAGGATCGATTTGTCGACATCTGATTTATACATTGATTTATACATAAACTCTCACTTCCTTAAATCTTTATCGACATCCACTATGTGTGAATTAAAAAATTTTTAATATTAAAGTCCTTCAGTTTGTAATCTTAAGATTTAAGCATAGTGGGAAAAGTTGAAAAAGATTAACCAACTTCACCAAAACCTCTGGGCATATCGTGACTCCTAAGAAATTGTAATGTTGCTAATTTTTAAAGTCATCTAGCGTATCTTAAAACTTATCTGTGATATCACAGCGAGTCTTATAGCCTAAACTGGCTTATTTTCTATAAGATAGACAATCACTGGCATATATCTATATATTAAATGAAGTATATACTAGATATATATATAGTATTATATACTAGATATATGTATAGTATTATATACTAGATATATATACAGTATTATATACTAGATATATGTATAGTATTATATACTAGATATATATATAGTATTATATACTAGATATATATATAGTATTATATACTAGAAATTTATATAGTAATATGTACTAGATATATATAGTATTAGTCGAATATTTTTCTTTATTTTCTATTATTATTTTCTGAATTCAAAATTTTGAATTTTCGAGACGTTACTTAAGTCAAAAAATATTCAAATTTTAAGCTTTTACTATTTATGCTTCTAGGATAAAAAAAAATATAATAAACTTAAAATATATTAAAGTTTACTTAAAAGCTTTCGCGGAAAACTCTTGGAAAAACTAGCATATAAACTAACAACAAAAATATTGGAAATTTTTATGGGGGTCATAACTGAGTTGATGATAACTTCCAACATTGCTTTGTTTACCCTAACAACCCAAAGTATTAAATCGAAAAGCTTCAGCTACTGTTGCAAGCATTTTTTAGTTTATTTGAATTTGTAGGGCAATGGGTGTGGGCTGTAGAAACGTTGGTTGTCGGTATTAAATAACGACATCAAAGCAACATTGTTCCCAAAGGTTAGGCGAGTCAATTTTGTGGAATTTTATTAATAAACTGCGCTATAAGCACGCAACATAAACGCGGATTTTCCTTCTCTAAACTATGTCGTGCAATGTCAAATTAAAGGACATAAAAAACATTAGTAAAAAAATTGCCAGACAAAAGTGTAAATTTTTGCTACGCCCATATTTAGTTTTTCAAAAATGAAAGTGAAAATTACTCGCTAACAAGAAAATGCCTTCATAACAAATATAATTTATAATAAGTTTTCCTTTCGACAAAGTGTGAATTATTCGCCAGTGCAGTTTTCGTTACTCGTAACAAGCAATCAACTCAAGGACTAAATTATTGATTTTCAAGATATATAAATAATATATAAGTTAACAAAGAAGGGTTCAAGCAAATTCAAAAAAAAAAATTCAAATAATTCTAAGAATTTAGTAGAACTTCAGACTTCTTGCTGTGATTAACGCTTGATTCCGAGTTGCTTGAAAAGTGTTATGAAAATAAATATTTTTTTTTTTGTGAAATGTTAAAATGTTGTTAACAAAATGTTGGTTATTGGCAACGAAATGTAGTTCAACGCAATTAGCAACAACAACAACTAAAACAACTTCATACACACTACGCTATTTCGCTAAGCGTTCTAGAAATAAATCTGTATTTAGAAGACTACAGGTAATGTGAATATCTAGAAGTAATATGTAACTTATATTAATAGAATAACATGTAATAAATAAAATGTTCCAAAACGGTGAAAAACAAGTGAGAATGAGTTCATTTTATTAAAACTTAATACCAACTTACTTTAAAATATCTTGTAATATTATTTAAATTAATTAATTTGTACCCCAATTAGTAAATATACCATATATTTTCACATTAAAAATTACAATTATCAATTATGATATACAAAAGTCTTTGTCTGTTGCCGATATTATCTTATCAAACATCTCATTTATTACATGCACAGAGAAAAATGACAGGATTTTACGTCATTGAGTTGGCATAAAGAATCTAGCATGTACTCGTTCTTACATGCAATACTCGCTCATAACCGCAAATATTTAATTACAATTGTTTATTGTATAATTATGAGATAAAACTAGCCATTTGTTGATTTTGCATTTAATTACCCTTTGTGGCTGATGCAAACTAATCATTAAATCGGTGTAGAAGTCGGCATTCATTTAACATATGAATTAACATTTTATCGGAGCTATGATATAATTTATCACTGTTTTACATACTATTCACTGCGGATATAAAAAAAAAACAGTTTACGAATATTACAAAAAAAAATTATAATTAGAATTTATTGAGCTGATAAAATAAGAGCGAATAACGACTTCACTCAATATGCATGACAAGTAAATGTACAAATCTAATGGTCCATTAAGAAATCAAAATTGTTAGAGGCTATAGCAATAGCATATATCTATAAATATATTTTATTTGTTTATAATAAAAGAATTAGCACACATTACGTTCAGTGTCGTAGTTATTTCATTGAAAGTTTGCATGAAATAACACATCTATCGTTCACAAAGCTAATTTAAACACAAACACTTAGAATGGATTTTGAACAAACATTAAGTGTCCTTAAATTTCGTTAGAAAAATCAAACTAATAATTTCTAATCATATCTCAAACTTTGTGCTTCGAATGATAAAGCCCTTGATGCTACGACGTCGCTAGGAAAGTGAAGCGTTAGGGATAGAGTATGCAAACCATTTTTATTTAAAATTTTTTATATCACAAACATTATAAAAGTATGTACACAACAACGTTTGTTAACACTATAACTAGTTGTAACTAGTAACTAGTAGTTCGTCTCTAGTATCATTAAATATGTTTAACAATAAATAGAATAAAAAAAATCATATATTGTTGTGTGACTAGTAGTCTAAACTTTGTTTCAAAATTTTAAGCCTGTCCAACAATTATATATAGACTATAACACTATAACTAGTTGTACGAGAAGTAACTAGCAGTTTGTCTCTAGTATCATTAAATATGTTAAATAAAAAATAAAATAAAAAAACTCATACATAGTTGTGCGACCACTAGTCTGAACTTTGATTCAGAAACCTGGAATTTGTAGTCCAACAATTATATATGGACTTACAAAACCAACGAATACTTTCAAAGCCTACTAATGATGAATATTTGGTAATATTAGAACCCTTCTTTATATCAAATTTTGTTGTTGTTATTCACTACTATTCAAAAACTCTTTTTTAGTGAAATAATTTTTATCATAATTCATTTCGAAGACTAAACAAAAATCAAATTGTTTGAAATTTGATTAAATAATATTAGAAAATGGAGTTAAAAATTTAGAATAAACTTAAAAAAATTAAATATTAATCACAACAGACATAAAGCGGACAACACTGCGTATGAGTGATTTAAACTAAAGAAAAGTTACTGTGAATGAATATTTTATTTCCGCATACGCATTTACACAAATATTGATTAGTTTTATGTTAATTACGAAAATATTAAATAATTTAAAACATATTGATTTCAAAATTTACTCAATAAATTAATATTTACATTAAAATTAAATAATTCATTGACAGAATATGTACATGAATGTAATGACTTTACTTAAACTCTATCTTACTGACTTTATGTTATGTTAATAATTTTTGTAAATACAAATATTTTAATTAATTTTTTTTTTGTAATATTTATTCGATTTTTAAATTAAGATAAAAACACTTTAACTGTGTGAAAATCAATTTTCTTTGTTACCTTTGAAAGCCGCAAATGCTGTTCGCAAAATGACGCTTCTGACAGACAATCTTAACAAAGATTGAAGTATCTTTTAAAAAAGAATTGTGTTGATTGCTTTATGGCATATATAATTAAGTAGAGGACCAAACTGAAATTGGCAAAAAGCCAAAGCAATATTAATAAAAAAAAATGCGATGAAAAAATTTAAAATTAATTAAAATACGGAAAAGAAAACTAGAAGATATTCTTTATTCTTATTGATCAATATTTTGACATACGTCTGCTTCTAAAGCCAATTTTGTAAAAAAATTTAACACACATTTTTGATTAAATTCTTTTAGGTTTATGTTAAGAGTGTTTATCCAAAAAAAATTGAATGACCACATTGTTATTAATATTCACTGATTCAGTTGTATAACAAAGCTTTGAAATCTGCAATTATTTTTGTATATATATATATATATAATTATGTTTAAGAATTTTACGCACAAAAAGCTTATATTGAGTTTGATGGATCCTTAATATGCGCACATGGATTTCTGACACTATACATAATCTTTTGCAAAGCTTTAATAATTTTCACATGGGAATTTCGATCAAAAATGTCTTATTTACT